ATGATCATTGATGCTAAATGTCATGGAGAGGTTAAAGTAATGAGTACTGAAATTAAAGCATACATTTAACCAACAGTTGACCATTAGTGAGCTCCATGGAAGAACTACAGTGAAGTGGGAATGTTCCATGTCTGGTTCCCTGCAGTCACTGAAAAGAGAATGGGAGGGGGCAAACAGACTGTGAGCCCTCATTGCTCTCTCAGAAGTCCCATAGTACAAGGACAGGAACCAGGCTGTTGTTGTTGTTGTCGTTATGCGCCATGGAATCGGTTCCGACTCACAGCGACCCTCTACAGAGTTTCCAAGGCTGTAAATCTTTACGGGAACAGAAAGTCTCCTCTTTTTCCCATGGAACAGCTGGTAGTTTCAAACTGCTGACCCTGAGGTTAGCAGCCCGATTTGTAACCACTATGCTAGTGTATCCTTTTTTCTATTTCTGAAAACAGGAGAAGGTCATACAGAATAAACTCAGGTGACCCAAACAGATAGTCAACCTCAATGTTACTGCTAGTAAAAAGCAGCACTGGATTTCAAAAGTAATATAACTGATCTTCTAATGCAACTCATAAACCACCTCCAAAGGCAATTCCCAAATAAGGATTGAAACAAAACAAAACAAAACAAAACACATTTTGATAATGACAGCATCAGAAATTAGGGTATGTTTTCCCAATGTGGCTACTTTGAATAAATGTGTGTTTGACTACAAGAGTTCTGGTATATCTCTTTTCTTTCTTTCTTTCAGGACAATTTTAATGGTACATGAGTAAACTTTTATATGCTAACTACATATTGATTTGTGTGTGTGAGAGGGAAAAACTGTTCATCAAATTCCTAATATAACATATATTGCAATATTTCTTTGATCAATAAATTTTTGTTATAAAGTTAAAATAAAAGTTGTTTTAAAGAAGTCATTAAATAAATAATAGTGTGTGTGATACTCAGAGATGGCAAAAATTGCTTGAATATAAATAATTCAAATTTGGGAAGCACAGGTGTAATAGAGAGAATGTGGGCTTTGGGGGCTTCAGATCTGAGTTCAAATTCCTGCTCTACGATTTGCTAATTCCTGAACGACCTTGTGAAAGTTGCTAAACCTTTATGAGTCTCCGATTACTCATCTATGAAATGAAAATAACAATACTTACTGCACAGGGATTTTCTAAGGTCTAAATGAAATCAGGCATTAAGGCCTCTAGCAGAATCCTGGGCACACACATTGGCAGCTATAAAGCTTGATGGCTCAAACATTAGACACATATTCAGAGACAAGAGGTTTCCATTTATTCCGGGTGACCTTTCTTTCCCATCTGAAATGTGCATGGCTGCAAATGCCCATCCCCTGGGCTGGAGAGGAAGGTCAACAACAAAATAGAAGTGGCAGAGGCTCATAGGAGTCCTGGAGGCATTTGGAGCAGTGCCTGGGTCAGCTTAGGGGGCACAGAAAGGAGTCTGGCAGATAAACAGTGTTCCAGTAGAGATGCTACCCTCCTAAGAGCTTGGTGAGAGTCAACCTTATAATTATTAACTCAGATTCTAAACATAAAAAGCCAAATGATCTGTGCAGAATGAAAGCCAGGGACAGTCTTATCAAAAATGAATCAGTCTCTTTGATCTTGAGGTAAACCGACTCACTGAACAACACCAAGTTTCCACCTGGGTTTTTTCCAGACACTAAAGCAATTGCTTAATTCCCAGCTGTCTGGAATTTCCAGTCCAAACTGGCTTTACAAAAAAAAAAAAAAAAAGCCCCACCACCTTGCTGGAGTTCACCCTCCATTAAAAACATACAGAGGTCTCTGCTATTAATCAAATGAAGTAAAGGCTCCAAAAATACTTGTAAAGTAACTAAATGTGGTCCAGGTAAGTGAAAATGGAGTCCTGGTGTGGTGCTGTGGGTCAATGTGCTGGACTTCAAGGTCTGTTTGAACTGCAAGGCCGGCAGTTCAAGCTCTTGAGCCACTCCTCAGAAACCCTATACAGGATCGCTATGAGTTGGAATTGACTCAACAGCACTTCACAACAACACAAGTGAAAAAATATATTCCATCCAGTTAAGCACTAAATATTCACATATAGAAAAAAGGAGAACCAGAGTAGAGCCATAGGGGAGAGGGGGAAGGCATTCAAAGAATTGATGGAAAAGTAGAAGACAGTGGGTGGGTTGGTAAAAGTGAGTATGTGAGGAAGATAAATGTAAAATACACAAAGCAGGCTGGGATCGAGGGCAATGAAAACATTGGTGGAAAACAGAGGTAAAAGGAGAAAGAAGAGGTGCAGCCAAGTGAGAAGCGCCTTCATCAGCATCTCTCAGTGCATTTCTAGAAGCCTCTCTTAACTTCCCACCAAGAGGTCATCTGCACTGCACCCTGCAAGAATGAATCAACATGTAAATCACCCTTTATCTGTGGAAACTGAATTTAGCTGCCAGTCTTGATTGAGGGCACCCAGGCCTCCTCACAGGAAGAGCACAGCTCTCAGAGAGAATGCCTTTTCTTCCCTTAAATCAAAGATCTTGCACAAACCCATGGAAATAGCTGCAGCTGGAGCCATAGACTCTGTGAAAGGTGGCAGGCTGAGGACGGTAATTATAATTAGCAGTTACATAACATGTTTGTTCTTCAAAGTGCTCTACAAGCATCAGCTAATTAATAGCTTACTATGCCCCATGCAGATCCACTGGTTTTTCATGTAGTGACTAATCCCTATACCCCCTAATGAATTCTGAATGGCGGAGGCAGAGTGGCTTGAGCAATGGAGCAAATGGCTCAGGGTCCAGAAGCCATGCCCAGCTCTCTTACAAGCTGACTCCATAGCTAGCCCTGTGTCAGGAGGACGTCCTCAGTAGCTGCCTCACTTTCTCCTTCCTGGAGGTCATTTTACAGATGCAATAATAGGTTGTTCCGACCATTAGTCTGGCCCAATAGGGGATTGTTGCTGTTAAGCATTGCCGAGTGGGTTCCAACTCATAGCAACTGTTCTCAAGTTCCCCAACTGTGAATAAAGGGACCTAGGAGTCTTTAGTATTAGTTATTCGTTTGTCCTTGCTTTTATGTGCAACTTGGGCAAGTCCTGGGGGAAAGCTTCAAAACAAGATTGACCAAGGTCTCTGGGTTCTCATCCAGGTCACTAGCCTATGATCTGTTGCTTCTGTTGTGGCGGTGATCCATATGGGGATTTCTTGTACAGGCAGGGCTTCAGCAGTGGAAAGATCCATAAACATCCGTATATGTGCATTTCTTTGGGGAAAGGGCTTGTTTCCCTTGTTGTTGTTATGTGCCGTGGAGTCGGTTCTGACTCATAGCGACCCTGTACAGGGTTTCTGAGGCTGTAAATCTTTACGGGAGCAGAAAATCTCATCTTTCTCCCGCGGAACAGCTGGTAGTTTTGAACTGCTGACCATGAGGTTAGCAGCCCGATTCGTAACCACTATGCTACCAGAGCTCCTTTATCATGTAAATTTCAAGAAGGCAGTACCTAGCAAAGTACCTCACAGATAAAACCAAAAACCAGCTGCTATGGAGTCACGTCTGACTCATAGCAACCCCATGTGTGTCAGTAGAACTATGCTCCAAAAGGTTTTCAACGGTTGGTTATTTTTCAGAAATATATCACCAGGTCTTCCTTCTGAGACACTTCTGGGTAAACTCGAACCTCCAACCTTTGGTAGCAGCTAAATGTGTTAACCTTTTGAACCACCCAGGGATTCCCTTTATAGACAATATAGGCTAAATAAACATGTGTTGAACAACGAATTTCCCATTCCCAAAATGACTACAAACCCATTACTCTAATGGGAAAATCATCATCAGAAGGCCATGTTTTGCTTAACCTGGCCAGATTTCCCTATAAACAACTTTGGTTGGCAGGATCAGAGCTTCTACCACAAGTCTGCTGCTAGCCACATCACAGACTCGAACCAAAACTACCTCGCGATTTCACTCTCCAGAGATATGCCATCAGAGCCAAGCAAGTCAGCATCATTATCCTGAACTCTCTGATTAGATGACAATGTGGTTCTGAATCTTGTTGCCAACTGAAGATTAAATGAAATCTATACAAAATCTCTCAGCTTCTCAATACAATTTATTGGAGAAAATACGTACTTCTAAGCTTCTAATTTATATGATACGTCTTTCAAAGAGAAAAAACCAATAGTTGGATAGAAGGAGACAAACCTGGAAGTATCAAACTAACCTTAACTTTCTCCTCTGGAATTCTATCAGACAACAATGGAAATAGATTTGCAAAGTCATTTGGTGCTAGGTGGCAGTCGTCTGTAACCTCCCTCAAATGACTATCGCTAGCTGTAAAAAGTATTGCTTTTCCTGCCTTATCTCCGGGAGGCAGATGTGTGAAATGGAAACCATGTGCAAAGTATATGCACATGTCTGATTCATGAAAAGATCCTCTTCATTTGAGGTTAACAATTTCAGTAAAAGACCTAACATGTGCACAGTGCTTTCTTCTTGTCAAAATGCCCTCCATAAATTATCCCATTGGACTCCCCCTACAACCCTTTGAAGTGGAAAAGAAAGGCTGCATTTCCCCTTTTTTATAGATGAGGAATTGAGGCTCAGAGAGACATTAAATAACATTGCCAGAGTCTGAACTGAAGTTTCAAAACTCCTTTTTATTATACTACCTTTTCTCTGAAAGGCTGTCTCCATGTGCTAAGTCACGACTTTTAAGTATGCCCCCGAGAAAATAGCTTCTCTAGAAAAATTTCTCAGTCAGCCAGGCAGAGGGGAGACAGGAATCACTTTGATTTAAGGTGGGTTTCAAAAGATGCCTATAAAATGTTGTATGCAACTTGTTTTCCCAATCCACTCTCTAAATCTTGGTGATTGATCTAGCATACACAAAACCAGGTGCCCACCTAGGTACATGACCCAACCAGGCATAGTACACAGACTGAGTCAGCGAATAAATGGCTTTACGTCCCACTGGCTTTCTGGTTCGTAAGGAACAGAAGGTCAGCAGAATGAAGTCTGTACCTGTGCATGTCAAAGGACTTTTTCTCCAGGTGCCTTTCTCTGTGCACACAGAAGTGATCTTTCCTCCGGGACTCTCAAAGCCCTCTTGACAGGCATAGTGAGCCACACTGCCCAGGCTGGAGCTGTGATTCCTCTCCAGGACCGCATGCTGTACTTCCGGGGGACTGCCACAATCGATCTCTACAACGAGAGCAGCAGCACACTAGTATGAGCCCCCAACTTCCAATCCTACACGTTGTATTTTAGAGTAAATATTCATAAAAAGACTAAGTACGTCAAAGAATCCAACAGCAGTTATATAAAATGAGATTGGTCAGGAGTACAGAAAGTAAGTGTACTAACTTCAGTAAAATTTACAAAGATGTCCACAGAGAGAATAGTCAAGTTATGAGATTATTTGCATTAAAGCAAATTCCTTGTTCTCTATAACAATCCACCTCAGACTTCTTTTAAATATTGAGAATTTCTGGTATCTCTTATTATGTATTCTCATATCAGGAACTCTTTGATTAGATAATGCAATTGGGGGACTTGTTGCCAACTGAAGATTATATGAAATCTGTACAAAATCTCTGAGCTTCTCAATACAAATTATTGGAGAAAATATGTACTTCAAAAATGCCAATTTATATGATCTGTCTTTCAAAGAAAAAACAAAATCAGTTGGATAGAGGGAGAAAAACCTGGAAGTATCAAACTGACATTAAATTTCTTCTCTGGAACTCTACCAGAAAACAATGGAATGTGTTTACAGAGGACTTTCTGAAGAATTGTGTCCTTACTGTTCCAGACACAGACAAACTATACTAAACATCAGAGCAAAAGAAAATCATTTTCAGATATTCTAGAGGTTTTTTAAAAATCCATTTATAAATTTTTTCTGGGGAAAGAAATAACTCCAGTCTAACAGCAACAATAACAAAAAATTAGAATATATACCCTAAGAATGGGGAAAAAAGATTTTAGAAAAAACATTACTGAGCAGTGAAATTAACAAGATACATAGAAAGTCTCAATAGTTATTTAAATGTGATTGTTGTTGCTGTTAAGTGTTGTCAATTCTGACTCAGCACAGGATTTCCAAGGAGCAGCCGGTGGGTTTGAACTGCTGACTTGTGATTCGCAGTCCAGTGCTTATCCTACAGTGCCACACCAGGAGCTTGATAAAATTATTAGTAAAGGATTTTAGAAATAAAGACTATCAAAGTAAGTAAATAAATAATTATAAAAGATACCAAATTATTTCAATAATTAAGCATTTTAAAGGTAATGAGGAGAAGTAAAAGCATGCTAAATTTCTCATATTATATAGCAGTGGTGAGCTTATAGATACAATTTTATTCAAGAAAACGTAATGAAGATAAAATAAGATGGCAGTAGTAATTCCAAAATGTTGCCAATCATGCCGGTTATACTTAAATACAGAAAGAAAAACAAACAAACAAACTTTTAGCATTTATGCCGATTTTTTAGTGTTCTCCTTAATCTGTAAAACATCAAGAAAATTAAGGACTCTTGACACCCAGGCTTTTAGAATTAAAGTCCACTTATTGAGCTAAAGCACTCAAAATCAAGACTATGGTAAAGTCTGTTCCCAACTCCCCATCATCCGTTCTTGACCTTGGAAACAGATGACTTCTCTGATGCAGAAGTGATCGATTTAATGGAACTGCATTCATCTCAATCTCCTCATGAATGCCTGGTCAATTGCAGGACCCCAGAGTTATTTCCTTGAGGAAAGTTATTCAGAGCAGAGTCTATCTTTGTCTTTGGAGCTATCACAACAACCTCAGGACAACAGCCCAACCCACCTGACCAGTTCCTTGGCTTTAAGATGGAAAAAGCATTTTGGCTCAGTGCAGACCCAAGTCATAAGCAGCTATGAGAACAGAACAAAATGGCCATTTCATAAACCCTCCAACTTTTTCTACCTCTAAAGTTCCATGCTTGCTCCTACAGTTTTGCTCCAGTTTCATACCTGTTTACCCCTTGGCTCGCATATTTTCCCAGCACCAAACCTTTAGATATATTTATTGACTCAAAACATTCCAAGACATGAGTATATGTGTGTATACATGAGCAACCAACCAAACAGATGGTTAATGTTTCATAAGACTGCCCAATCGTTGTTGATATCTAAAATACCTTATCATGTAAGCCAGGTTTCAGATACAAAAGGAATTAAAAGGAGCATCAGGGACTAGGCTAAGGGTACAGGTTTGTGTAGGTTTCCATACCTTGAAGCTAGAATACAAAAACTGTGCAGTGGAGAGGTATGGGAGGTAACCCAGTGACAGCTGAATCAGAATATGCACAGATACTAAAGGGAGGAAAGCACAGAAAATAAGCAGACTGACTTCCATCTTGGACAAGACTAAGAATAGAGGGCAAGATGTTGGCTTTAGTTGGGACTGAAAGATTCAAACATAATAATAATAATAGTAAAAGTCATTTGAGTTGATGAGATCACCAGGTTTTAGATGAGTGTGTGTGTTAAGTGCCATCAAGTTGGTTCTGAATCATAGCAACCCTGTATAGGGCTTCCGAGGAGTGGCTGGTTGGTTTGAACCACTGACCTTGCCATTCAAACTAACCCTGTGGTTCAGTGCTTATCCTACAGTGCCAATTCAGGTTTTTAGATACTAGGCTTTAAGGATCAGGTAGATAACCCTGTAGAATGCAGCCTTGGCCTATAACTCTATGAGTTCCCATCAGAGAGTTATTTAAGTTGAACAGTCCCATGGAAAAGCATGTTTAAAGAAAATTCTAGCACGGCTTGGATTAAATTCATGATTCCACACAGTTGCTTTTGAAAAACACACACGCTAGAGTTCTATCTTCCTTCCCTACCCAGAGACAACACTTCTGATTCCGCAGCCCTGAGCTGGGTTCTCGGCATCCAAACTTCTACACGCTCTAAATTTATTGTGATATGCACCATTAGCTGAGAACCTGAATTAAACACTAGTGTGACTGGCTACAGTTTATCACATGCACCTCAATAAAGTAAAAAAGATGACTCATTATTCCTCACAGTAACCCTGCATAAATGAAATCTCCAATGCCATGGTGTTGATTCTGAATCTTAGCAACAACCCTGCGTAGGGTTTCCGAGGATATAAATCTGTATGGGAGCAGAAAGCCTCTTCTTTCTCCCAAGGAGCGGATGGTAGATTTGAACTTCCAAACTTGTAGCTAGAGGTCCAAAACTTATCTATAGTGTCTGAATGTTGTTGTTGTTGTTGCCATTAGGTGCCATTGAGTCAGTTGTGACTCAAAGCTACCCTATGCATGACAGAATGAAACCCTGCCTGGTCCTGCACTATCCTCACAATTGTTGTTAAGCTTGAGCCCATTGCTGCTGCCATTGTGCCAATCCATCTCATTGGCGATATTCTTCTTTTTCACTGACCCTCCACTTTACCGAGCATAATGTCCTTCTTCAGAGACTGGTCTCTCCTGAAAATATGCCCAAATTATGAGAAACAAAGTCTTGCCATCCTGGTTTTTAAGGAGCATTCTGTCTGTACTTCCAACACAGATTTGTTAACTCTTCTAGAAGTCCCTGGTACTTTTAATATTCTTTCCCAACACCATAATTCAAAGGCATCAATTCTTCTACAGTCTTCCTTATTCACTGTCCAACTTTCACATGCCTATGAGGCTGTTAAAAATACCATGACTTGGGTCAAGCACACCTTAGTCCTCAAGCTGACATCTTTGCTCTTGAACACTTTAAAAAGGTCTTGTGCAGCAGATTTGCCTAATGCACTACATCATTTGATTTCTTGACTGCTGCTTCCATGAGTGTTGATAGTGGATCCCAGGAAAATGAAGTCTTTGACAACTTCAATCTTTTCTCCATTTGTCATGATGTTATTTATGAGTCCAATGGTGAAGATGTCTGTTTTCTTTGCATTGAGACACAAGCCATACTGAAGGCTGTGGTATTTGATCTTCATCAGTAAATATTTTAAGTCCTCTTCACTTTCAGCAAAAAAGGTTGCATCATCTGAACATCGCAGGTTTTTAATGAGTCTTCCTCCAATCCTGATGCCGTGATCTTCTTTATATAATCCAGTTTTTTGGACCATTTGTTCAACATACAAATTGAATAAGTATGGTGAAAGAATGCAACCCTGGCACACATCTTTCCTGATTTTAAAACATTCAGTGTCCCCTTTTTCTATTCAAAAGACTGCATCATGGTGTATGTACGAGTTCCTCATGAGCACAATGGTCTGAAATACCCATTCTTCACAATGTTATGCATAGCTTGTTATGATTCATACAGTCAAAAGCCTTTGGATAGTCAATAAAGCACAGGTAAACATCTTTCTGATATTCTCTGTTTTAGCCAAGATCCATCTGACATCAGCAATGATATCCCTCATTTCATTTCCTCATCTGAATCCAGCTTGAACCTCTGGCAGTTACCTATCAATGTATTGTGGTAGACATTTGAAAAATTATCTTTAGCAAAATTTTTCTTGCATGTGATATTCATAATATTGTTCAATAATTTTTGCATGCCATTGAGTCACCTCTCTTTGGAATAGGCACAAAGTAGAGTCTTATCTTTGTCTTTGGAATTATCATAAACCTCAATACAAAAGCCCTACCCACGTGACCAGTTAATTCCTTAGCTTTAAGAAGAAAAGGTATCTCGGCTCAGTGCAGACCCAAGTCACAAGCAGCTGTGGGTCTCGGAACTTTCAATTAGTTGAACAGGTAGCTATCTTCTAAATTTCTTCACATAGATGAGTAAGTGCCTCCAGTGCTGCATCAGTTTGTTGTAAGATTTCAATTTCTATTCCATCAATTCCCAGAGGCTTGTTCTTTGTCAATTCCTTCAGTGCACCTTGGACTTCTTTCATCAGTGCTCTTGAACATAGGTTATCACTTGAAATGGCTGAATATAGACCTTTTCTTTTTGTTATAATGACTTTGTGTATTCCTTCCATCTTCTTTTGATGCTTTCTGCATTATTCAATATTTTGCCCCATGTTGTTAAATTCTGTCAAGTTGGTTCCAACTCATAGCAATCCTGCATAGGGTTTCTGAGGAGCAGTTAGTGGGTTTGAACTGCCAAACTGGTTTCCAGTTCAATGCTAATTCTACAGTGCTAAACCAGAAGTCCATTTTACTCATAGAGTCTTCAATATTTCAAGTCGAGGCTT